TCTAATCATCCCTGATACAGGGTTTTGCTTCATGCATGGGCGCCATTTGTGGCGTATTAATATAATACGTAAATAAATTACACAGACCTGGCTAGCTAGGTGGAGGTTCAGCACCAAATCCTCTTTATTCAAATAAGATGACACCTTTTATATACTCTTCAAAATAACATGTGACTCCCTTGACCAATACCAAGGGCATCTCACTGCCCATGTGTGGGAGTACTTTGGGACTTCATTTCCCAGGATGCCTCATCCAGCATCCTTCCTGTAACCCGACTCCTACAAAGAGCAGCCTTTAGTAGTGTAATTGAGCAGCCATGACAATTCAGGTATAAATATGAGGACAGCAGAGGAGGACAGCAGATCCTTCACTGCAGAGCCTGTAGATGTGCACAGCTGCAAACTGATGTAATTGGGCCTTGCCACCCACAGACGGAAAAAGGACGAGCATGCCTAAGCTTTTACGCCATGAAGAGCTCAAGGGAGAAAAAAACCTGCTATCTGGCCTGCTTACATAGCTGTGATTTTCCTCTTGCCCTAGTAACATTCCTACACTGGGAATCTCCATTGGGCTGGCAACTTAACAGCTTGATCTCAAGGACACACTATTGCCATGCAGGTAAAAGGCACCACTACCCACCAGTATCATTCCACCAATTTTTTTCCTTTCCTTCAAGTAGCAGCTGCAGCCTCCTGTATTGAGTCTCTCAGGCTATGCCACTGTACCAGAAAAAGGGAATGTTTTAATTTCCTAGATACCTTGTTCCTGAATGCAATCTCTGAGCTCTCTGATAGAGCTCACCCAGCATCAGGAAAGGAGCAAGAGGTGATCACTCACTCTGTGAGATCTTGAAAAGGACAAGGATATGGTGAATACATGAAGCAGGCTAAGGGGTCTTCGTTTGAGGCATGGACCACCAAGGGGAAGAAAGGAAGCATTTGGATCCCTTGCATTTGGATCCTCCTTCATTCAGATCATAGAGCCTTGCCTTGCTTTAGGCTTGAATGTTATGATCTCCCACAGCACAATGAGTATTCCCAATCCCAGTGGAATAGGATAAACTATGATTCTGAGGTACTGAGTACCACCAGTGCATCCAAATTTCTCTTTCAGACATCTATGATTTTCAAAATTGTTAACATGGTTAGGAACATGCATGGACCAGCACATCATAGTAACTTGTGGGATGCACCAGTGCATTTTTGGGAAACCTATCTTTATTGAAAAAGAGGTGCTGAGTGCTGAACTGATATTGACCTCAGTAAAAATTCTGTTGTCTAACTTGAAAACTCAGGGCCATATGGTCTATCTTAACTCTTCAGAGATCACAAGAAGAGCATAGGTTTTGTAGAACAGGTCCCTTGTAATTTAAATTATCAGAACAATATTGTAGAGATTAATTTTGAATACTGACTTTAAATGTGTTCTTTACTAAAAAAATAAAATCCTTATTAACAATGCCCTTTTTAAAATTCACTTCTATATATGAATCATTGCAAATTTGGAATTTAGAGTTTAAATACTGTCTGATCTCATCTGAATTGAACGGCTCCTTCATTTTCCTCAGAAGCTCTATTTCAACAACATTTTCATTTATAAGGCACTATTTACTTCAGGAATTGTCACAGGAAAAAGATTTTCTTGCAGCGTCAGGACTCCCTCTAGTGTCGTTACAAACAGGATCTTTGGGGATCTGTATGGACTGAAGGTTTGTGTTTGCTTTTGATGAGATGACATCCATAACTTATTTATATCTGAGGTCAACTATTGCATATGCAGCTGGCATACTGAAACCATCCTACAGAGGAGGAAGAAAGAACACAAAACGGAATATTTTCTATGGTGCATTTCTGTCTCTGTGACTGAATGATTGGAATTTTTTTTGTGGAGGAAACAAATCTTGGTATGCTTTCAAGACATAATAGATCCTTGAGCAATTAAAAAAAAAATTAAAAAAGCCAAACCACAGAAACCTGGAAACTGCAGAAACTAAAAAAAAAAATAAAATAATAAAAAAAAAATCTACACTTCTTAAATCTAAGTCCCGCTGAAAGCAAGTAGGACTCAGGGTTGGAAAATCCTGAATGACTTAAGAAAATGTGACTCAAAGCTCCAGCTATTTAGGCCTTTCTCAAAATGTGACTTTTCTGTTTTCAGAAGTCTCTTAATTTTGTTGTAAATTACCATGAAGATTTCTGAATTACAGCATCACAGAACAGCTGAGATGGGAAGGCACCTCTGGAGACTCTCTCACCTCTCTGTTCAAAGCAGGGGCACCTACAGCTGGTTGTTCAGGGCTGTGCCCTCTCAATTTTTGAATATGAACAAGGATGAAGAACTCACAGCCTATCTCAGCAACTTCTTTAAGTTCTTGATCTCCAGTGTGAGGAAAATTTATTGTTTTTAAATGCCATTTCCTACATTTCAGTTTGTGCTTAATTATGCTTGACCTTTTACTGGATATCTCTGAGAAGTCTTGCTCCCTCTTCTTCACATGCTCCCATCACCTGTTCATAGACATTGGTAAGACTTCCCTGAAGCCCCTCTTCTCTGGGCCAAACAATCCCAGCTCTGTTCATTCCTTCTCTTGTCTCAGAACAAATTGCCTTTCTTCGGACAAGAGGTAATTTTGAAATGAGCATGCTAAAAAAAAAAAAGATTACTGTGTTTAAGGAAAATATTAGTTCAGTGACTGCTATGTTATTCACTAGAAACTGATTATGTTTTTGTGACTGCATTGGTGTAGCTGCAATGTGGAATAGATTTTAAGTTTCACGTACCCTAAAATAACTGCATCATATTCCCAAATTTTGTCCTATACCGTGAATCACAAGGTATTTGAAAAAAATATGGCTTATTCTTTCTTATAAAGGTTTGGTAGCTCAGCATCCACTGTGATACCTCCAATCACATTATTCATTTTCTTCCATTCTCTAACTCAGACCTCCAGGTGGTGACCCGGTGCAGCACAGAAATGCCCCTGGCTTGCACATCGTGCTGCATGTGGCCTCATCAGGAGCGCATGTGATACCAGGGCTCTTGCATTCCCTGTCCTGCTGTTTCTGCATTTAACCTCAAAACACCTGGTATGGTTGGGATAGTCCCATTTACCTACCTTCTGCCTCTCATTCAAGCACCTTGCTGCAGTATTTTTTCCTAATATGGTTTTGACTACTATTTCTCAAAGCCTACAGTGCAAATGATGCTGTTCCTTCTGAAGTATAATCCAAGGACTGTCCCAGCAAAATTCTTTGTCCAGGGCACATGTAACTAATGAATGATGCAAAGGCAAAATTTTTCCCCAGGCTTCCCTACTGCAATACAGATTTTTGCTGATGCACATGTGGAGATCTGCTTTTCCAGTCTCTGTCATGTTATAAATTGTTATCCCATGTTAAGTTCTCTTTTTGCCCTTCTCGTTCACATCTTGGACTCATGTCTTTCAGGCGTCGGCACTTTTTACAACTCCTCCTCCCAGTTTTCACAAATCTTATTTGAGTGCCTGTCTGAAAAGAATGAATTTTACTAGGCTGCTGTGTTGGAAATCTTTAGTAAAGCTTTTAAGTGATATCTGGGGGAAGATCACTCCCCACGATTTCCCTCTGGGCACAGATCCCCCCTCCTGCCACATACATTATTCTAAAAACACAGACAGCAAAGCTTGCCAAAAATTTCTAGGGAAAATCTAGACTAAATGGTGACTGTAAACCTCAAAGGAAGACAAGAACCAGACAGCTGACCCAGAGAAAAGATTCGTGCCATAACCTTTTTTCTCCTTTCTGCAGTTATGGAATATTGTCTCAGTTTTACTCTGCTTACTTAGTGTCAGATTTCAGATCACAATTTCTGGTCGTATGTGTAAGGGAGTAACAAGTTAAAAAAATAACTGACCTGTTGAGACACATTGCAGTACACCCTGCCAGCTGATAACATCAATTTCATGACTGCAAGGCCGTTCCTGGCACGGATGACTTACTTAACTCAAGGCATATCTGCATATTTGAATTAAGTACAGTAAGGGCTTATACACGAATGGCTCAAGTGTGCTCTATAAAACATTTTTTGAACTGAAACTATGTTTTCAAGAACAGGACACCAGTGATGAGGTGTGAAATGCATATTTTTTTCTAATTTAGGTCTCGTACTGGTTATAATGTGACCTTATCATTCTCCGCAACTACCTGAAAAGAGATTGTAGCTGGGTAGGAGTTGCTCTCTTCTCCCAGGCAACAAGTGACAGGATGAGAGGACAGTCTTAAGCTGCACCAAGGGAGGTTCAGGTTGGACATTAGGAAGAATTTCTTCACAGAAAGGGTGACTACATGTTGGAATGGGCTGGAGGTGTTCAAGGAGAGACTGGACATGGCACTTAAAGCCACGATCTAGTTGACTGAGTGGTGTTTGGTCATAGTGTGGACTGAAAGATCTCAGAGGTCTTTTCCAACCTAATTGACTCTGTGATTTTGTACTCATCTCAGTTTCTGATCCCATTGGTTGGACTACCTGTTACATGTTTCTTCACTAAAGCAGCGTGATGTGTTTCTTTACGGACAGTATGCAAACACTTCGAGGGAGGGGGCTGCAGCCAGAAGAGGGGAAGGTTTGGGGATAGCTCAGAGCAGCCTCCTCCTGCGACAGGCAGGCCACGGAGGGAGACTGAAGTGGGTGAACGACTGGCAGCAGCTGTAAACCACATCCGGGCAGGTCCCTTCCGAAGCACAGACTCAACCACAGCCTTGAGGAGGGCCAAGCCCGTCCGTGGTGGGGGTAGCCGGAGCTGCGGGAAGGAGCTACCCCGTGTCCCATGCCAGGCCGGTATTCCCGGAGCTGGAGGCGGGCCGGCGCGGGGGCTGCGCTGTGAGGAGGGCGGGAAGGAGGGAAAGAAGGACGGAGGGAAGGAGGGAGGAGGCCGTTCCGGGAGAGCGGGCAGGGAGCGCGGGCCCGAGGCGGCGCCGCTCCGCCGCTCCGCAGGGCCAGGCCGTGCTGGGGGTGCCCGGCCGGGCCGCGGCTCCGGCATGGACGGCGCGCCCGCCGCGCTGCTGGTGGCACTGGTGGCGGTGGTGGCGGTAGTGCCCGCCCGCCGGGCGGCTCTCGCAGGTAGGGCCGCGGAGGGGCCGGAAGGCACCCGCGGGCGGGGGGAAGGGGCGGCCCGGCGCCGACCGGCCGCAGTCCCGGCGCGGGGGGAGCGGCGCCCCGGGCGGGGCAGGCCGGGCGGCCCTGGGGCTCTTCAGAGCACTGGCGACGCTTGTCGCCGGTGCTCCCGCGGAAGGAGCAGCCTGAGCGGGGACTGGCCGCTGCCCCGGCCCGGTGTCCGGGCCGGCAGCCGCTCGGCCGGGGGCGGGATGCCGGGGCTCTGCCGACGGTGGGACAGCGGGCATTTTATGACGGCGTGATGTCCCTGTGCCTTGAAGCGAAGGCCGAGCCTGGCCGCTCGTTGTGAGCCCGCGCCGGTGCGGGCTCCTCCAACTGTGGAGATGCTGTGACTTGACATAGCAATAAAAACTTGACAATAAAAACAAGGAGAACCCAAGTCACGTGGATGAAAACTTCCCCTACCCGGCCCCCCGACTCCAATCATAACTGTAGTATGTCATGAGGAAAGTGCTAAGGCAAGTGCAAGAACATTTCCTGTGATTCCTTCCCCTGCTCTGGCATGGATGTGAACCAGTAGTCCCGATGTTAAGTGTCAGCGGGTAACTGCAGGTATCTGCTTTTAGCGTACAACTTAAGCTATTTCATGCTTGGCTTTTCAGATGTGCTAAGACATGCCAGTCACCTCACTGCTGGTGATGCATCTTATGGTGCAGGGCCTGGGCAGTCACCAAAATCATTGGAACAACCAAAAACTTTAGGCAGGAATTCTATTTCTTCTTGAGATACAACTTGAAGTAAATTATAATTTGAGCATCAAAGACTGGTAGTAGAGTTTATTATTTAAATATCTTTTTAAAATAATGGATCATCAGGCAGTTGAAGTAGTCTGGTCTTTCGTACTCTTTGTAATTCCATGTGAGATGAACCAAGTGCCGTAACTCTTTCTTTAGAAATATTGTGTGTCTGGTCGGTTTCTGTGATTATGTGGTGTCTGTTTCACTAGATGAGAAGACTAGTTAGAAACAAACTAATATTTAATTGTAACTTTAAAAAAATAGTTTTTAGTTCTTCAGAAATTAATGAGAGCCTAATTGGTGGTTAAATTCCAGCTCTTCTCTCTTACTCCAGGTGCTATTATAGCTGTAGCCTTACCCAGAGATAATCTAGTGAAAAGAAAAAACAATTGAAGGCTAGAAGGAAAAAAAAAGGACTAACTGCTTCTTATAGACAGCATACTGAAATTAGATGTTAAGTGGGTTTCCCAATTCTTCAGTTTTCAGTGAGTTTATATTATAGAACCAGAAAATAACATAAGTTCCATTCTTTTCATGTTCAGTGCTTTAACTACAGCACTGTCTTTTATCTGGAAATCATAGAATTATAGAAAGTTTTGGGTTGGAAGGGACCTTTAAACATCATCTTGTCTGGTGTGTAAAGCATTTGTAGATGCAACACAAGGTTATTCTTCACTGTGTACATTTTAGGTGAGTGTAAGAGGATTGCAGACTCTGATAGTATTTCATTTACCCAAAAAATCTCACTAAATTCTACATTGGCAAAGTGTGAATCAACCTTGAGAATTCCCTTTTGAATAATGGTTATGTTAGCCTTAAAGGTCATTCCCAATGAATCTGACAGCTTCCTTTTCCAGTTCCATTTTTCCCATGTGGGACCCCTGGTGGCCTAGTGGTTAGCATGTGGGACTCTCACCGCTGCGACCCGGGTTCGAATCCCAGTCCCCCCGGGCAGATGGAGCCCGTTAGCCCTGTGAGGCCATCCATCTATGAGAAGGTCACTCTAAACGAACCTACGTCCTGAGGACCTCACTGCCATTGTCCAAGCTCGCTTGGCCCCGGCAGATGAACCTGAGGATTAAAGGGTGGGCTCAGTTCAGCGCAGGCTGTGTCTCACCTAAAAAATCCATTGCGCAGGCTGGAAAGGTAAAAGACCTTTCCCCAAATCTTCGTTCGCGAAGACTGGCCATTATTTTCCCATGTCCTGTCCCCTGCTGTTGATGTCACCTGCTACCAACTTAGATAAGACAACAAAGATGGACGTAGTACTTTTTCATTATGAAATGTCCTATTTTGATTGGTTTTGTTTCTTCTCCCCCCATCGTTCTGTTGTATTATTTCTGCTGTTTATCCTTGTTGCAAAGCTTCATTAATCAAACTCCTGTTTTTCGAAGTTTCAGCAGCGTTTTGGAGAGTGTAAGGTTTGTAAGCAAACCATATTATGAATTCTGTGGTACTAGTAGTGTTTTTCAGTCTCTTCAGTTGAACTTGATCATATCTGTGATGCAGCATGTACTGTGTTAAAAAAAAGAACATTCTAAGTATGGTTTCAACTAGCTGTGAAATAAAAAAAGAAGCCACGAGTGCATTTTTATTTATAAGCATATATTTTCTGGAGCTTTTTTTCCACAAGCGATTAATAGTAGTTTATGCTGAATCAGACTGAAACAAGTTTCACTTTTTCCTCCTGCAAAATGAGAGGCATTGAGATTCACTGTAAGATACAGGACTGTGACCAGCATTGGATTACACCAGTGTAAGGACAGTCATCATGCTCATGAAGTTCTGGTTAGGACTTTAAAGCCCATTCAATCTAGTTTTAATGGGCAGTCACGCCAACTGTAAGGGTTTCTGACTTGAGGTCAGGTTTCAGTCAGAAGCTTGCGAAAAGTTAGCTTCCAATCTGATTCTTCACTGTTGTTCAGAAGCAAAAAAAAGCAAGTAGGAAATTACTTTAAGAAAGTAATTGCGATCAAATTTTATTTTTTAACTGCTAGTTTCTTGAAGTTTGAATCACAGAACTGACCATCTTTATTTCCAGAATATGCCGCTCTGGACATCCATGAGATCTATGGCAATTTCTTTTACTATTTGGATTATATTTTAAAAAATAGTGATTTTTATCACTGATGTGCAATAAATCCAAAACACTGCACTGTACCAACTACTAAGAAGAAAATTAATTCTATCCCAGCCAAACCCAGGACAGTTATGCAGACCTTTCCAAAGTTCCAGCAGAATGTTATCCATGTAAGGTACTTTGCCTGAAAGAATTATTTTTCAGTTAATTAATGAATTTTTCTTTTTCTCTTATTTTCATAGCGTCCTTATCAGACCACTTAGATTTTTTTTTCTGAAGCTTTAGTATAAACTAGTTACTTTTAAAGTAACTGTATGCAATTGCTAGAACTCAATATCTGTTTCTCCAAAATCCAAATTTGAGATTCTCCGATACTCACAGTGGTTTCAAACATGTTACTGACAGATTCAAGATGAAAGAAAGAAATACGACTAGATAGGGAAATAAATGTACAAGTCACAAAATTTTGTAACAAATACTTGCAGCATGTGAAAAGAATCACTTTGGGTCAGTTCTGATGAACGATTCCAGCTAAGTTACTCAGCACAGAACTGAGACATTTTAAAACTTTTGTAGGAGTGTTTGTACACTAGGGAATTCTCCTTGGAGAGGACTGACAACTGTTCATGTGGTGCAGTGACTGAAACCTTGGACCTGAGTGCAAAGCTGTTTTAGTGGGAAGGAGCTAGAGAAATGGTTTGGTTCCATGGGAAAGCTCTAGGCATGTTTATAGTGCAGGATGTGAATCCGTGCAGTAATTGCAAATGTATTCTTTAATCATTCTGCCTTTTTTTATAAAAGCTTGTTACATGGGATACCTGGAATTTGGTGCTCTCTCACTAATGTTTTCTCTCTTTTTGATCTGTCTCCACTTGTGCTGTACAGTCAGAGCAAACAAGGCTTTTAAAGTTATTAATATCATAACACCTTTCTATTTGGTATTTATAGGCTCTGAACACTTGTTTCTATCACTCAAATCTTATCCCAAGGAAGAGTCTTCCTATTTTATTTACGTTGAAGGTTGCGAGCTGTTTTTCCTGTGGTTTAGGGAAATAAAGATCAGACTTGCATCTTCATCTGTTGAGACCTGCATGTTTTATCTTAGTTATGGCAGAAGCTATTGGGACTCAAGGTATCTCTTTGTTTGCCTAGCACTTAGTGCATGAGGACTCTTAAATGAGGATTCAAGCTATACTTCTATATAGCTGAACGCATTTTTACTGTTTGGAAACGTGCCTTCATCTCTAGTTTGTACAACCCCTCCACCTCTTATTGAAGCACCATAAAAGACTTGTTAGTACAGAAGAAATATAAGGTATGAAAAAAAATTGTTTTGAGAATGGAGGGACACAAGCCACCCCAAGAAGGGGGACAGAGTTGTCCATGTGCATTGCTCATGTTAGCTGTGTAGTGAGTCTGAGCTTGGTTTCTTGTAGATACATTTGTACGGTTTTTAGTTTCGGCAGTGGAGGAGTGATGAGGCTTATATTTTTTTGTGCTTTGAGTACAGAAAGAAGAGAAACATTATTCAAGGTGTAGCTGTTGGTTGAATTTGATAATGTTTTTAGCACTAGAGAATGAAAGCTGAACAAAAAGATAAAATGTCAACCAAATTCCACCACTAAGTGATGAATGAAGAACCTTTTGCTCTGTGACTATGAAGGCTTTCGCTATGCCTGGCCTGATTTCTTGTAGTTGCTTCAAAGAAAGATGTTGTGGACAGAGCTGGTCGAGAATCTTCAGTAATATTATTTGAAACACAATTTTCAAAACTTACACTTCCCATATAAATGTTACCTGTTGTCATGGAAATATCGGGAAGAATTTATAGCCCTAGCGTTGAGGGTTGTCTGTAAGAGAGAAGGAAGAGGGATGGGGACCACAAGTTAGTCAGTAACTGAGTTTGAACAGATTTTTAAATTTGCGTTCCAAGTGATTATGCCTCTATTTTCTTGAGCCTTTGTGTGTCTGTTTCTGTGTCCATAACGGGACATTAATAACTGACATAGATCTGGCTGTCATTCTCAGCTGCTTTCACTTGTCTTTTCCATTTGAGGCCCAGAGGTGTTACAGAATAAGCTGTCTGCCCAGGCACTGCAGAGGAATCTTTCCCTATATGACATGCTGAATTCACCTGTTCCAGCAGCAAGGGACCTTCACGGCCGGTATTGCTGGTTGAACTGCACATACTTTCTGTAATGGTGTGATTAATGTCACATAGTCCACAACAAAATGTCCCTGTTTCAAAAACACCAGATTAATTTTGAGGTCAGTCATAACAGGGTTTCAGGCAAAAATCATTCTAAAAGTGTCTGTTCTAGAGGAACTTGATTCCTATACTATAATAACATGTTTCTTAGTTTGGTGGGTACAGAAGCAGAAATCATGCCAAGGCACTGTGGGTGGTCTTGGCCCAAGATCTCGTTTAGTGTTGGATCAATGCCTACCTGCCCCACCTGCAGTGATGGATTCTGACTCTGAAGAGTTTTATGGAAAGCAAAAGCTTTAACTTATGTTTCTTTTTTTTTCCTTTTTGTGAAATTCATATATAGTATAAATATCAAATTTTTTCCCAGTGGTGCACTGCAAAATATTGACTTTGCAGCTTCATTCTATTTATTCCAAGTTGCACTTAATAATTCATAGGTAAATTTATCTTTCTGCTCAATTGCTTCCCGAAAAATCCAATGTTTTTTTCTGCACTTACTCAAGTCTATTGAAAATATAGTGTATTTAAATGTAATTTTCGATTTCCATCAGTAACCATTACTGTTCGTTCAAAAATTAACTAAATTTGGGGGCTGTGTTATAGTGATCATAATGAAACTTTCAGGATATTGACATCTGTGAAAGATTTTGATTTAATTTGTTAATTTCTGAGGAACTTGACTGATAAATTTTAATGGAATCTCTTACTTGCCAGTTCTGTGGGGGTGCGAGGATGAACGTAAATGAACGTAACTGCTTCTTGGAGGCTCAGTAGGGTGAGGAGAAGGGTCTGTCTTCTCAGGGTGAAACCCTTTTGTACCCATAACGTTATATTGATGTTCTGATGTTACTATGATGCTGACGGAAATGGAGTCTTCTTTTGATTAGGACAGGTTATTTCAGACAGCTGGGTTGTGCTACCTGTGATCTTCAGGAAGTGTCATGGTTTAACCCCAGCTGGTAACTAAGTACCATGCACCACTTGCTCAGTCCCTTACCCCATGGTGGGACAGGAAGGATAATCAAGAAAAAAGAAGTAAAACCTGTGGGTTGAGATAAGAACAGTTTAATAATTGAAACAAAGTAAAATGTAATAATAGTATTGAAAAGGGAGATAACAAAAAGAGTGAAGTAAAACTGAAAATCAACAAGTGATGCACAATACAGTTGCTCCCCATCTTCTGACTGATGCCCAGCTGTCCCGAAGTTTATATACTGGGCACGTTGGTCTGTGGTATGGAATATTCCTTTGGCCGGTTCAGGTCAGCTCTCCTGGCCATGATTCCCTCAGCCTCTTGTGCACCTGCTTGCTGGCAGAGCATGGGACACTGAAATGTCCTTAACTTAGGGTGAGCACCACCATGTCACCAATGTTATTGTCCTACTAAATCCAAAACACAGCACTATGCTGGCTACTAGGAAGAAAATAAACTCTATCCCAGCTGAAACCAGAACAGGAAGACAGTATCTCTGTGCATCATTTACTGAGGTAGAAATCAGGGGACTCCTCTCCTTACCTGTGACACTGGATCTACAGTTCTATAGGGTAGGGACAATCTCCTATAGTCCATCTGTACATTAAATAGTACACTGACAGTCCCAGCCACTGCCAAAATATGAATTTAGCACAAAATAAAAAATTATAAATATTTAACCTATTTCCTGACTTATTAGTCGTTTCTTATACTGGGGATTTGTCTATAGTTCTGTTATTCCAATACTCACTTTAAAGAGGAGGTCTGTCTTTATTGACTCTACAGAATAACATTCTATGTACAACAAATGACATAGGTTCTCTCAGTCTATAAATTTTATGTAAGACTTGTAAGGTGTATTAGAGCTATTTGATGAAAGGTTTTTTTGAGCTAGAAGTACACTGATGAGGAAGAATTCCTTTTGATTCCAATTGGAACCAATTTTTCTTAGCACAGTAGTGACTCTTCCTTTGGAAGAAATATGTGTGTTTCTGAGGATAAATCTAAGGATTTTTCCTGTGTTTCTCTGGGTACTTTATATAACTTACTATTACATAGTTTTTGGCTGTGGGGTTTACTGAATGTTGTTCTTGGGAAAGCTACCTAGAATTTTTATATATCTTACAGCAAAGTTTTAGATACTATTAATGATTATTTCATGAATCAGCTGCTTAATGAAATCTTTGATTTGGTAATCTGTGCAGAATCCAGTACAGAGTCTGAGTTACAGCCACACTTTGTAAGAGTCATCAGAGTGTATTAGATTCAGCTAATGTAGGGACTGGAACAATGAAACCTCAAAAGTCCTCTGCAGTTAGGCTTGACTTTCAAAAGAACTCTGTTAAAATGAGGAAGTTATTTCAGAATGAAGTTAAAAACTGCAAAATAAATATTTAGCTGGTGGTGTCCTTGCAGAGTTATGTCCAAACAGCTGAAGCATCATAAACCCTAGCAGGTGTAATTTGAAAATAGACACATCTGGGGGAAAAAATAAAAAAGGTCAAGGATCAGCTTGAAGGAGTCAAAGCTTTTACTAAATCTTTCTTAAGTACATCAAGAATGGAAACCCTGCAGAGGGTCTGTGCAGCCAGTTGATTAAGTTATCTGTATAAAAGAAGCACTCAGAAAGGGCATGGCTACTGCAGAGAAGCTAAATTAAATGGTGTTTCCTGCTAACTAGGAGGATTCCCAAACTGAAATTTCTTTTTTTGGGGTGGAGACAGGGAAAGAGAGGGGTTGACCTAAAAAAACTTGAGGGTGAAATAACTTGCTTGCTAAGAGTGGTGTCTGATCTCATGCTTTTAACTCCCTGGGTACTTGGAGCATGGATGGTGGCAGATTTTATTCCAATATTTAAAACAAGAATGACCAGGGGTCTGTAAGCCTGACATCCATACCTGTCAAATTTATAGATACTGTAACAAAGGATAAAAGATACACAAGTGAGTAGGATCAACTTGGGAGGAGTCCCTACGATTTCTTTAAAGGTAGGTTCTGCTTTACAAACCCGTTACAGCTTTCTTGACGTGGGTGTGCAAGTCATCTAAGATTTAGATTCTCAGAAGGCTTTTGATAAAGTTTGCCATCAGAGGCTTTTGAACAGCAATTGAATAGGAGTGCAGGGCTTTGTATATTAAGTAATGGATTAAGTAGGAGGAGGGGTAAATGATTAATTTCATTTTTTCATATGTCAGAGGGAAATTACCAGCAGAGTTTTTGAGGCTGTGGTCTTAGGATTTGTGTTGTTCAGTATAGTAGTAATGGGGATGGTAAAGGCAGTGAGTAGTCAAATGAGAAAGCTTACTGATGTTACAGTTCAAGGCAGAAAAGAATATTTGAAAGAAATTATTCAATATAATTGCACTGCTCCTACAGTTCTCAGTCATCACTGTTGGAGATTGAATACTGGTCTGTGTTCACGCTTTGTCTGTACTGGTATGGCCATGGGGTTCTTATTTTGTTGCGTGGACTAGTGAATTCAGTATCTGAGATTTATTTTAAATTGTGCATATTTAAGTTTATAGAGAGTAATATAAATTTTTTACATACATTTAGCTGTAGATAAGAAAAAGAGGGTTTTTTTGTGTGTGATTAAATTTCCTGTTTGTTTTCCTTTATTTCTTTCAGTATCGTTTTACGGTGATAGCTTTGTGGAGCTGAACACGGCAGAGATATCCTCTCAGACATCTTTACAGTTGCAGTTTCGAACAAGCAAGGCACAGGGACTGCTTTTTCTTGCAGCTGGGAAGACAGATTATTGTTTAATGGAGCTACGGTCAGGATATGTACAGGTATGCTCTATAACTGTACCTAAAAAGGTATGTGTAGTCTGTATTGCTCAGTGTTTTTTTTTTTAAGCTGTTGTCTATAACAAGTCTCAAAGTTTCTGTTTAAAGAAATGGAAAAATCACAAAATATAATTGATTATTTCAAAATATGGTATTTATTTCTTACAATTGTATCTCTATAGGCTTTGAGATATCTAGATTTTAAAATCAAGATCATTGTGTTCAAAGCATGACATTCAGTAAAGGCAAAATTTCAGATTTGATGATGTTAGCATCATAAAAAATGTTTGGATCCAAGTAATTGTTTTTCTGCAAGGTAAGGTCTTGAAAGATCATTGTCAGTTGGGTTCTCAGGATTGTTGTTCCTTGCAGAACTGCAAAGAAGTCCGTTCCTGCTTCTGGAGTTATTCAGGTCATATTTGTCATGGCAGGTAAACCTACACAGAATTTTAGTGGGATTTTATTTTTTCAATTATATTTTGTAAATTATGTGTTTAGTATGAAAATGTGTGAAAATTAATGTATTAACCATATATTAATATATGACTGCAAAAAATACCACTTTGGATTTTGATATTTAAAATTCTATCTCTTGCAGTTGAGAATTAACTTTGGTGTGGGGGAACGAGTTCTGCATTCTCAGCAAAGATCTCAGCTGAATGATTTAGCCTGGCACCTGGTTGAACTACATCGTGAACGTGATAATGTCGCATTGGTAATTGATAAAAATGATAGAACTAGTGCAAAAATGCCTGGAATTCTCTATGAATTAAACATCGATTATGGATTCTACATAGATGGTACTAGTAAACTTGATGTTCCCTACCTTATTGGAGCACTACCCAGTTTCCGAGGATGTATTGATGGTGTGTTTTTCAACCACAGAGACATTCTGATGCCTCTGAGACCTTCTCCTGGCTTCAAAATCATCCATGAAGTTTCAGTGGGATGCAGTGATGAATTCTTTGTGGGTGAAGAAGAACCCATTAGTTTCTTCAGTTCCAGGTCCTATGTTTCTTTCCCATCATGGAATGTGGACGATGAGGGAAGCTTCGAGTGTACGTTGCAAACCTCAGCTGCACATGGCTTGCTGCTTTACCACCCTGGGCAAGTGGGAGATTTCATTGCAATGGAAATGGAAGGTGGTTTAATTAAAGCTTATGTTGGAAAACATAGACATAGAACCCATCTTTCTTCTCGTAGATCAGTCAGTGATAGTCATTGACACTACATCAAGCTGAAATTTACTGCAGAATATTTGCAGCTGACATTGGATGAAGAAACTGTGAAAAACTCATTGCCTCCCCATAGTAAGCTGCCAATTCTGAAGGGATCCCTCTTTGTAGGTGGTGTAGAAGACAGCATACGATCAGAAGTGGTTAAATTAGACCTAATCTCAGTATCTGGGAAATATGCCAGAGGAGGATCCTTCAAAGGTTGCTTAAGAAACCTGAAAGCCAACTCAGAAAAGAAATCACTGAAGAATGTTCTGGTAAGTAAGGACATTTCAGCTGGATGTGAAATGCAGAGTGCTTTTAATACAAATCTTTCTTTAGAGATGACTATAAAGAACCCTCCTGTGAAAGCAGCCCCAGTATTTGCCATTTCCCATGAAAGCTCTGTCTCTCTGGGCAAGGAAGACAAGAGCCACCTTTTAGTTCTAAGTAATTTGATTGTGCCAGAGGGTGGACAAGCTTCCCTTGAATCTAAGCATATTAAGGTCAGCTTAGACTTTGAGAAATTAGGAATTCATCAATCACAAATTTTTTTTGAAATAAAGGAACCGCCTTCTCATGGAGACTTGAAACTAAATGTGCAGGAGGTGAATACATTTACTATGCCAGATGTGTGGCAAGCGAAGATTCTTTATGTCCATGATGGCTCTGAGGACACTTACGATTATTTTAATTTCTCCATTTCTACCAGCAGTGAGAAGATCATGCCTCCATATTTTCAAGAAAATGAGCAGCATATGTTTAGCATTACTGTCACTCCAGTAAAGGATGCACCTGAGATCGCACTTCCTGAGGGAAACTTGCTTTTTCTCTCGGAGAACTCAAAGAAATGTTTGATTAGTGACCTGATAAAAGTTCTAGATAAGGATACAGATTCTTAGGGTCTTTCTGTCCTTGGAAATCTGAATGCAGATGCAGGATTTTTAGAAAACTCAAAGCATCCTGGAAAAGCCATTACTACTTTTTCTAATGAGGACTTAAGGTACTGTTTTCTTTGTCCACACAGGTGTCAAGAACTCAATGCTTGTTCTCAGGGCAAGTGACGGTGAGAAGGTGAGCAACACTGTTGTGTTACATGTCATGGCAGTTCCTTTGGATTACAGAGTTGTCAACAATTTAGGAATAAATCTACTCCAAGGTATTACAACTCTTATAACACCTAGGCATCTGGCAGTTGAAACAAATGCTGTCCTCCAGGAACTGGCAATACGGTATGAAATCACAAAGCCACCTCAGTTTGGTCAAGTCCAAAGGCAGCATTCAAGGGGAGGATGGAAGCAAGTCAATTGTTTTTCTCAACGCTCTCTTCAGCGCAGCAATGTGAGATACTGTAGCACTTTTAAAGAAATTCAGCTGGAAAATGTTATCGACCAATTTAAATTCAAAGTTAGTGTAGGAAACAGAATCAGTGAAGAGCACACATTTCCAATCAAAGTGAAATGGTTAAGGTACACCTTATTGAAACACAGTCCTCTAGAAATTGAAAAGTCAAAAAAGAAGTACTTGAATTCTGATAATCTTTTTGCTATTATTGCAGATCTAGAAATACCTGAAGATGAGCTTCATTTTAAATTGCTGTCTCTACCAAGGAATGGACAGATACTGCTTAATGACCAGCCTTTGAAAAAAGATTCAGTCTTTAACCAAAAAGATATTACTGATCAAAAAGTGGCATATGAATTAATCAACAGATACCATGAAGACAACTATGATTCATTTAGATTCCTAATTTCTACAAAGTATCTGGAATCAAATTTGTATGACTTTGAAGTCTACATCAAATCAGATTTTGGAAACATTATTTTGACTAACGATGGCCTTAATGTTACTGAAGGTGAAGGAGAGTTAATAACGAGCACGAAATTGTTTGTGCAAACAATAAATAATAAAACTTTCCAATACAAAGTTATACAGTTTCCTAAGAATGGGAAATTAGAACTTATTGATTTTTCAGGCCCTTCTGAGAATAATGACAATCTCACAACTTTCACTAATAAAGACATAACCAATAAACGCCTTATGTATGTGCATGACGATTCTGAGACATGTTCCTGGAATAAAGTTAACCACATTTATCAGAAAACAGGTAACACATTTAGATTCGCTTTACTGTAATCATGATGGATTCTTTATATTGCTGAAAGCTGTGGGATTTTGTGGGAGGTGGTGAGATGCATGAGTTTGAGCTTTATTCTGGCCTTGAGTCTAACGTCTTTCTTCAGTTTCTAGCTGGTCATTTGGAGTGGGGAGGGAGGGTGCCTTGTGTTGAACCACATCACTTCCTGTGTGCTTCTGTGATAATCACAGTAGATTGATGGGCCACTCATACTCAGGCAGTGTTGTAGATATTCTGGAAATGTAAGATGACATAAGGCTGTGGGTACATTTTGAAAAGGAGGATATGGTGTGTAAATTGAACAAGGAAGAAAGTGGAAAAAAAGTAATTTTTTTAGGTCATGTCTTTGCTCCGAGGCAGCCAGTATATGCATGATATGCTGATTTTCAGGCTTTTAGCTCCAAGAAACAAAATAGCATCATAAGTCACCATTTACTAACATGAGCATAAATAAAGTCTTAGAAATCATAAAATGTTCATGCAATAAATACAGAGGGGCATGACTAGACTTGAGTATTTTTCAATGTGACATATATTTTCTTCTAGCCTCTTTAGTTTTTCAGCTTGTTGTATTTTTCAGGTGGAACAAGAATTAATCTACTATGTTCATGATGACAGTGAAGAACTGATGGACAGTTTTATTGTGATAGTAAATAACACAGAGTTGTGGAAACAAAGTTTGCCCCAAACTGTATTTGTCACGGTTACTGCAGTAAATGATGAAGCTCCTGTTATAAAAGTTAACAAAATTCTTCAGGTATGTTAGTCAATATTTTGAAGTGTTAAAATTATTTCTGTTATTTTTGATGCCATCTGATGCACCTTCATTAACAGAGTATTAAATTTGTCTCTGGTGGGATGGTCAATATAATAAATAGCAGTCCTGGGATTTAGAGAAATTAATGCTAATGAAAGGAGGCAGTACATGGCTAATTTGTGTTTAGGAAGATTCTAGTCATCATGGAGAACATTTTCTGTTGTTCTAATATAAAGTTTATCTAGAAGGCTGAGTGAGTGTTCTTTTAAAGTTACATGAAGTGTCTTGGACTGACCTAGGGCTTGTAGGAGTGAATGGCTGGCACTTGGATCATTGTATTGATGGAGGGGCATAAACATAAGGCATACAGGCCAATGTGGTC